TCGACATTCGCATCGAAGCCCAACCAAGAAGTTGGATTCAGAAGCGATTGTGTCCGAAAAACGTGCATCACCTCGACGATCAGCCAGAAACGATAAAGAGAAAGGGGAAAAGGCATCTGACAAGGCGTCAAAGCCGCATCATACTGAATCACCCAAAGCGAAGCGTTCAGGTGTGGAGAAGGAATTGAAACGGCATCATGAAAAAGGTGACGAAGAGCTGAAGGATGCATCAGATTCAGTGAAGCATAATGAGGAAGCGGTAAAATCAAAAAAGAGTTTCGAACAAGTAAGCAGCAATTTATTAATTAGTCAGTGTTTTGTGAGCAGAGTTTAATTGAATAATTCAGTTTGGAGGATTGTAAAACTGAGTGTTTTCAATATGTTACCGTTTTTTAGAGCAAAACGTAGGCGATGCAGATTAAATATTGCCGTTTTTTTGTCTGTTTTATTCCGATTATAACAATGTCATTGCATTGCATTTGCAAGTCTTAAATAAAACTCAATCATTCTACAGCAGACAACTCAGTCATCACCCAAAGGCGTGAAGGAAGTACGGCAAAAAAAGGCAATTGTGCAAGATAGTGAGGATGTCGGAAGCGTTCAAAAGTCGGAATCGACAAAACTGAGCACGAAACTGGTTGCTAAATCAGCACAGCCTGTTGCCATTGTATGAAACAGTTTCTTTCACTTTACTTTTGTTCAGCTTATTAATCATGCCACTTTTTTTTCGCTGAAGAAGTTTTGGATTTTGGGGATTCGGGTCTTCATTTGGAGAAGAGTATAAACCATTCAAGAGCATTTAGTACAAGAATTTTCGTGATATCTTCCACTTGCAGACGTTACCATGGGTTGATAAGTATAAGCCAACAAGCATTAAACATTTGGTTGGGCAGAATGGTGACAAATCTCCAATGAATAAGATATTGGGTTGGCTGCGAGATTGGCCAAAATATCATCTGGGTGAGGGAGCTAAAGTGAAACGACGTACGTGCGCGTTCATATTATGCCCAGTTGTTTGTATATTCCATGTTTTTCGATACGTTCAAAATTTTTCATTCTTTTTAAATTGCTTGCAATCAGATGCAATTAAGATGAGATTATTTGTTCTATTTGCTCCGATTGAGCGTTTTCAAACTTTGCAAAGTAATTTCATTTTAAAGGTTCATCCTATAAATTCCTATTTGATAGTACATGTTCAATTACAGCGCGACCACCGCCGTGGATGGCGCAGAGTGATTGGAGTTCTTTCAAAGCCATATTGTTGAGCGGACCTCCAGGTTAACATTCATTCTTATTGTACTGTACTTGTTTCTTTTGTTGTTGTTGCATATTCATTGAGGTACTTGAAATGATAGGTTTATTTGAAAGCAATCCGCTTAAAATTGATTCGTTTAGAAATGCTCTGAAAAAGAGTGTTTGTTACATATTTGAAAACGTTCAATTGAAGTTCACACAGTGTATTATAAAATGCGCAATGGCAAAAATAATTCTAAACTTTTTGAGGAATTGGCAAAACAACATGTGCGACGCTAGCTTGCAAGGAACTCGGCCTGCAATATATCGAAATGAACGCATCGGATGCCAGAAATAAGAAATTTTTGGAATCGAAAGTTGCAGAATTAGTGGGATGTCATCAAATTGACGAATATTTTAGCACAAAATCAAAACCAACGAGAGGTTGAATTTTGATCTGTTTTAAATTTTTTTTGTAACTTTTTGGCCAAAGAGTGTTTACACGAATTACTTGATTTGAATCAGCCTTGTTAACAATTTGTCTAGACGTTTTTCTGTTTCAGTAGCTAAATCGGATGAACTTGGACATGTTTTAATCATGGACGAAGTCGATGGTATGAGCGGGACTGAGGATAGATCTGGTGTAAGTTTTTATTTTGATTGTTAGGTTGCACATGGTATATTCATTGTTTGTGACAGTGGCGTTAATGATAATGATGCCGTATTAGTGAGTATTTGTATTTATTGTGTTGTGTTATCCATATTCAGTAGTTTGCATGTGTATTGTTACATTTTTATTCATATTTTTGTGAATATTATTGCCGTTTCAGTTGGCTGAATTAATACAAATGATCAAAGATACGCGTATACCCATCATATGTATTTGCAACGATCGTCAGTCCACAAAAATGCGCTCGTTGGTGAATTATTGTTTTGATGTTCGATTCCAACGACCACGAGTGGAGCAAATAAGGGTTCGTTTTGAAGGTTTGGAATGAGTCTATCAATCGTTTGTGCTTATTTGATTTTGCAGTGGATTATTCTTGTTCTTCCCAACATTTCTTCCTTTATTTCATGTTTCTCATTGAAGTAATTTTCAGTCACGAATGCAAACGATCGCCTTTCAAGAGAAGTTGAAATTGACAAAGGAACAAATCGATGAGTTTATTGAAGCATCAAATCATGATGTTCGACAGACCATTTACAATTTACAACTGCTAAGCCTTGGAAGTGGAGGTAAAAGCGCCGATATCCAGCCAAAAGATTGCGCTGTGGTATGCTTTTGATTCATTCCCGTTACANTAGCAGTAAAAATAGTATTGTAATAGCAGTAGCAGCAGTAGAAACATTATCACCAGTAATGAAACTTATCATAACCAAATACGGAGTTTTACGAAAATTGTGATGAATTTATTCGATTCCTGGATTTGTTCAAATTTTGCTCTTCAAAATGGGAACGAATTAATTCGTAGAATACTTTCGAAGCAGCACGTCGTATTCTGAATGCTAACACGACGTTGCTGGAGAAGCAGGAGATGTTCTTCACTGATTATTCAATTATGCCTTTATTCGTTCAAGAGAATTATCCGTCGATACAAAACAATAAAATGAGGTTTGTTGCCAAATTTGTCACTTTTGATTTTGATTGATTGCGAACAATTATACGTCGTATTGCTCATAAATGTAATATTGGATGAATGAAGATCGTTTTGTGCGAAGTAAGAGGCAAGATAGTGAACCATACGAGCAGTTATAGTCAGTGATACCACGAGTATGTATGAATGGATTTGTAATACGAGCAATCTAGGTTATGGTCTAGTTGAAAGGATTTGGAAATAATAATTGTGTTGAATGATTTTAGTAAAACTGAAAGATTATCAGCACTTCGAAAAGCAGCCGATAGTATATCGAGCGGGGATATCATCGATAGAGCGATTCGAACAACGGGCGCGTGGAGTTTATTGAATGAACAGGTTCGTATTGACTGAACCAAGCAGCCAGTGATTTCTGCGTACTTTCAAGTTATTCAGTGATTTTCAGTGAACCTTTATTAACGTTTTTATGCATCATTTTAATTTGATTGAAGTTGTTATTTTTGATAGTATGGATGCAGTGATTTAATCGTCCTAGCGAATTCTAGGCTCTTTTCTCATCGATTCTTCCGTCGATGCATATGAACGGTTTCTTGAAGTCAATGATAAATTTCCCGTCATGGCTGGGCAAAAATTCGACATATAACAAACGACAACGTCTGATGAGACAGTTGATATCGCATACACATCTTAAGTGCGTTTCATTCTAAATTTCATTCTTTTTTGAAGAAGGTTTCTTAGGAGGTAGATGTTTCGTTTGTTGGAAACTTCCATTTTCTTTCATGTCTTCTGTGAGATTGGTTCGGTTTTTATCAGTCCAGTTGTTTGATTGAATCCGTTTCAGAATATCAGCCGATTGTCATTCCATGGTAACCGATTATGTTCCAGTGTTCAGAGATCGGTTGTGTCGACCTTTGGTTGAGCGAGAAAACGATGGAATAAGGTGGGAAATTTGAGGTACTTGAGTGGAATTCCCCAATAGATTATCGCAGATGAGTGATCTTAAGAAATTTTATTGGTGGTGTTTTTGATTATACGGATAGAGGAAAATATTATTTGTTTTCACGGAGAGTCTGAAGTAAACCTGGTCTCTGCTGAATGATTGAATGGACACACCCTGATCGATCGCTTATTATAGCTGAGCAGTCTAATCAGTAATCGTGGAAATATTAATGTGAAATGATGTTGACCATAGAAATGAATAGAACGTAGTCGTATGTAGCTATATGCTATAGATTATTGAATACGATCTGATAATATGGTCATAGAATAAAAGCACTTATTTTACACAGAACATCTACGAGCATCGGATGATCTGTTCGCAACGAGTGCTACACTAATTTGAGGATATTCGTTGATTGTGAGGATAATAGAAAGAGTAGAATGGGGAACGGGGAGATCTTCTGTCAGGAGATTGTCAAATTTCGGGGGATCTTTTTGTTGGGCAAATATCGCTGTTCGCGAATGACTACCGAAACTTGACTCATTTCTAACCTTGATTGACAGCACTGACAATTTATGATAGTGACAGTTATAATACGGATTAATAGAGATGTTAAACTGAGTGAGTGGTGTTTCAGCGATGTGATTGCGATGTATGAAGAGTACGATTTCACACGCGAAGATTCTGAAGCAATTGCTGAGTTGGCTGTATGGCCTGGAATGAAGGACCCCGGTGCGAAAATACAGTCAAAGGTTTGGCTTTACTTCTTATTGGTTAACTGGAAAAGGAATGGGAATTGTGAGATTGATAGTTGATTTGCTCGTGAAGAAGTTGAAAACGACGTTCGAAGAATATTTGCCAGTTTCTACTAGTTTTAGATGAATGTTTTAGGTGATTTCATATCTGATATAGCGTTTAATCCATTTGCAACTATTCAGGTGAAAGCGGCCTTAACTCGAGCGCTCAATAAGGAACATCGCTTACTGCCGTATGCAGTTGATGAGGTTTCAAAAGGACGTCGGAAGGGAGCTGTTGATGGTTAGTTACGGTTCTGCTTCAATTTTCACATTGACTAGTAGTACGTTTTGTGCTGAAAAAATCGTTTAACGAGTAAAATTCTCACTATTTGCGTGTTTATAAGTAACAATTTAGAGAATAAAAATTATAAGTGAAATGTTCGCGTTATGATTTGAATAATATTATTAATAATTGTAATAATGGATTTTAGCGGTGGGCGTTGAAATGGAACTCGATGAGGAAGGGAATTTGATTGAAGTGGGTGCGAATGACGATGATCCGAATGAGGTGTCGGACGATAATGACGAAGATGCGAGTGCGCAGTCATCACAATCGAAAGCGTCAACGAAGACTTCAGGTGAATTAGTTTTTTTTGGATGGAGTTTCAGTTATTTGGTTTGGTTTTTATGACGTATTGGTAGCTTTGAAATTCGAAGAACATGGTTAGGAATACCCATTTGGTGAGTTTGGTTTGATTCCGTATGTATTTGGAAACACGTCCTCGAATACAATTTGTAGGCAGTATGAACATTGGTTTTGTATTTTTATGGAAGTTAACTTCAATTTTTTTAATATTCGCAGGTCGATCAGCAAGAGGAGGTCGAGGTGGGAGCGCTGCTGCTAAAACGGCTGGCAGAGGTACAGCGAGCTCTGGTCGTGGACGAGGCCGGGGTCGTGGTGCGAAATCATAATCGTACACGGAACTGATTTTATTAATTGTATTTTTGATGGTATTATTCATCTGGAAGACGCGTCCGAACAATATGAACAATAACTGGCATGTCAAGCAAAAAAAGGGATGTCACAAACATTTATTCTTTGTTGAGTTTTGATATTTGCATAAATAATTGTGTGTGCATATTATTGCATTTACAATGTCAGGATGGTTTTACTACGGAATTTTTAAAGTTTTTGTTTTAATATTGTATAGTGTTTGATTTGAATTTTGTCTCTGGTAAGCTTATGCGGGATTTTTCATTTGAAATGTGCTCTTATGTTCAAACCAAAGCTATTCCGAAAATATCATTTATGGTTTCGTTCTGTTTGGAAGAGTGAACTTGCATATTGTTTGGAGGTTGAGGAACCTTTTGAATTTGGTTGTTTAAGTATGGAACTTTTCGAGTATGAACTTGTTTAAGTATGAACTTGTTTAAGTGACTTGTTTAAGTAACTTAAACAAGTTACTCGAAAGTATGAACTTTCGAGTAACTTGTTTAAGTATGAACTTTAAGTTGAGGAACTTTTCGATATATTTGATGTTGTTTAAGTATCTCAGATTACGGCCCATTCACCAATATTATACGGCTATTTTCCTTTGTTCACTTTTTATTTGTATTCATTTTTATTTCTGTATTGTTTTTTTGTTGTATGGTCAATGTCTTGCGATTTTTTTTTTCTGAAACGGTTTTCGTGCAAGTTATGGTTTGTGCTTTTTGGATTGTCTATGAAAATAGTGAGGTGCATCTGATAAGTTGGATTGTTTACATGACGTCGATTTGTAGTTTATAATGAGGTGCTTTTGTGGCAATGTTTTTTTAAATTGTTGTTATTTCCTTTTGTGAACGCATTGAGTGAAAATTCATGTTTTTATGAGAGGTCATAATGAAATGGAGATATTGAAATGTCATTATGACGATGTTTTAATGTTTAATGCTGCGCGCGATAAGGTTCACTTAGATATATCTGATAGATTTCTGCTAAACGTTTATTGTGTACTTGATGGACTTTGTTGAATTCTTCAGTGCTTTATTTCATTTGTGAATGTATTATGAGCACTTTTGATTTTGATATCCTCACATTGTTTTCGTTTTTTACGGATTGTATTGTTGATGATTATTCATATGGAAATAAATTGGAAAACATTTAGTTTTGTGACATATGACATATGACATCAATTTATTCTGTTGTTAGTGATGATTTGTGGCGAGAAGGAGACCGCCGTGATGGTTCGAGTAAAATAAGAATCATTGAAGAGTATTGGCTGCCAGAGGAGCTGATGTGGTAGAGTATGTTCAAGATGCCGTCAAATTTCCATTACTCACTAGTA